GCATTATATGCAATGAAGCCTAACTGCCACAGTCTTATTTACAGTCTATGAGGACCCTAGACAAATAATCAATTTCTTTATTCATTACATGAATAAAATGGCAACTGAAATTTGTGCAGTTGTTGGCTGAATAATAAGTACAACACGGGCCTTATCCTCAAGGAGGTAGGCAAGCAGAAAAAAAAATTTGCTTCCTTATTCTTAATGGCAAGCAACTAACTCTTTTAAGTGAAGACCTAAGGGATTCTATTTGTGGCCACAGCTATGTGCTTTCCAGTCACCTCCTTGAGATTTCCTACTCCCTTGAAACCCATAAAATTTTTAGAGTTCATAAAAGAGAAGGTAGGCAAGCCAAAAATTAAGAAGTCACCAAATATCTTGGAACAACAGTACTAGGTATTTCTCCAGAGAGTCATGATTGTGAACAAAGTAGCTCTACTTCACACCTTCTGTAAGGGACTTTTGGTATGTTGGAAACATTCCCTTAGGTCTACAGCTGGAGAACTACCACACCCAGCCTGAAAATTTGAATATGAATAATCAACATGGATGACAACACATGGCCACCACACTGAAATACACCTTAAGAGAGTATTTTTATGTTCATTAAAACTATATCCTACTTATTCATATTCATTCCTGTCCTTTCATGGCCAGTATTCTTATAATAATATTTTACAATATTTTTTTTTCTTTTGGTGGAACCAGGGATTGAACCCAGGCCCTCGTTCTTGCCAGGGAAGTGCTTATTCTATTGAGCCATCTCCCCGGCCCCATAATATTTATTTCTAATGATTCTAAAACAAGATAGTGTATGTGTTGAATACAGCAAGAACAGTTCAATGAAACTAAAACAGAATGGATATAATGCACATAGATAGATGCAATCAATATTTTTAATAATTACAAGTAATACCGGTTGGGGAGATAGCTTAGTGGTCTAAGAACCTGCCTGGTAAGCGCAACGATCCAGGTTTGATCCCCGGTACAGCACGCTGGGCTTGCCACTGAAACTGGGCATAGTGGTTCATGACTGTAATCCCAGCACAAAGAGGCAGAGACAGGAGGATCACTATGAGTCCAAGCTGCATAGCAAGACCCTGTACCACATAAATAAATAAATTAATTAATTAATTAATTTTTTTTTTTTAAAAAAAGAGCAATTTGAGCTGGCCAAACAGCTCAGCAGACTAAAGTACCTGCTTAGGGAGAGCGCAGCAGGCTGAGGTGTAAAATCCTGGGTATGCTGTGGCCACCCCACCTGCAGGGTGAACTGAGATAGCAACTGGATGTGGTGGCACATGCCTGGAATCCCAGCACTTGGGAGGCTCAAAATAGGAGAATCACTACAAGTCAGATCTGTGTAGTGAGACCCTGTAGACCCTGTGAACCCTGTACTAAGTACATTAAAAAAAATAAAAATGAGCAATTTGACTCCTTTATATTTGATATTCAGAGACTTCTGGGCTGCATGAGTTATATAAGCACTGATTTATGAAATAATAATGGTTAAATTTTCCAAATTTTGTACTTAGTCATTGCTAATTAGTTTATTTTTTTTCTTCTTTAATATATTTGGCATCTTTCAGCAAGTACAATTTTTCAAGAAAAAAATATTCTTTTGTTCAAGGAAATATATTAATTATGTAAATTCATGCAATATAGAAAGTTATAGCTTCTTAATGAAGAAAAGTTATGCACCAACCAATAAGCATTTCTTTCTCTTTCTTTTTTTTTCTTTTCTTCCCTTCTTTCCTACTTCCTTGGTACTGGGAATCAAACTCAGGTCCTGTGCTTGCCAGGCCAGCACCATGTCCCTGAGCTGCAGCCCTGTCCTCATAAGCATTTCTTTCAGGCATAAACTTTTACTGGATGGTTAATCAGAAAAGGATGATCAGAGGATGCAGATTGAAATAGATGCCCTGGGATAGTGGTGACAAACCTATGGCATGTGGGCAACAATGAGTGTGCAAAGGCTTTTCTTTCTGCATGCAAGCCAAGTTACCCCAGCATCCAAACATCAGATATTCAGATGTCACTGCAGTGTTGATACTGTGATAAATAAGTGGGCTCTGGGTTGCAGTTTGGACAGTTGGTCTCTAGAAAATTCACCATCACTGACCTGAGTGAAATCCACCAAAAACTTGTGGAGTTGCATACCAAGAAATAAAGAAACCCAGCTTCTTGGGAGGCTGAGTCAGGAATATCAGAAGTTTGAGGCCAGCCTTGGCACCTTGTTGAAACTCTGCCTCCAAAATGAAAACTAAAAATCTCTGGGAATATAGTTCAGTAGTAGAATGCTTGCCTTGCATTGGCAAGACCCTGGATTCAATCCTTTATACCACTAAGTGAAAGAAGTTGGGTCAGGGAGAGCTCAGCAGTTCAAGTGCCTGCCTGGCAAGTGCAAGGCCCTGAGTTCAATTCCTTAGACAAAAACAAAAAGTGAAGGAAAAGCTGATATTGGTTGTTTCTTGTTTTCCAATGAACATTGACATTCACCAACCTTGAAATAACGTGGTCAGACATCCAGTATCACACAGAATCTTTCAAAATGTACACTTACCACCTAGCTCCATGGCTCAGTCTGTTCCTCCAAAGTCTGCCTGCCATGTATTTCCTCCCTCTTTGAGAGACATGCCTTTTATTTTCTTCCTTTTTGGTCTCTCTCCTTTACTGTATTATTCCCTTTTCCCTCCACACCTTTTGGAAGTCTTAAAAGAAGTTTGTTTTGAACACCTTCAAGAAGCAGAGGGGAGATAACTCAGCAGCACAGCACCTGCCTGGTAAGCGTGAGGTTCTGAGCTCAATTCCCAGTACCCAAAAACAACAACAGCAACAAACATATACCTCCAGGAAAGTATTATTATGGCCTAGTGAGGGGTACCCAAGACTTCAGGGGCACGATTGCTCCTCCCTTCTCTGGAGGCCTCTCCATGCCTGGCCCACCACTGCCCGTCTCGCTCCATCGCCTCTTCTTCCCCTTAGCTTTGGTGAAGATCTACTCTTGGGCCTGACATATATTTGGATACATTAATAATAAAAATTACTTGTATCTACTTTCCACAAGCTGCCCTCTTACAAAGAGAGGGACTTTATAAGAAATATGGTGGTTCTAATGAATGGAAACATAGCTTGTAACCAGACTATATTGTCATATGTAAAAGTCACCAACAGATGCATTGTTTGCATTCCAAGACTCAAGAAGCAGCCAGTCAATTCTATTGCTTCAAGAAGCCTGCTGCTTAGTTAATTTACTAATAATTATTAAATTAAAATGATTTTTCAAAGTCAACCAACCACCAGATTAAATCATTCCATCATTCAGCATTGCCTAAAAAATTAGGATTTTGAATTAAATTCTAATTTAGTTTCATAATTCAAGAATTTAAGTAAATCTAAGATCACAGAGGTGTGAATTTAATGAGACCTAGATATCGCTTATACAGATACACACACACACACACACACACACACACACATTGTGTTGATATAAGTGGGTTTACTAATGAAAAGTTCACATTTTTTCACTTACTGATCATAACCTATTTCCACATTTGGATATATTATCATCTGCCCACACTACTGGCCTTTATTTCAAAATAAGATATTTTCTGACTATATCATACTAAGCTAATAAGACACTTGATCCTTCCCTTGGTCTCATCCCTTTATGTAAATCCCATAATCTCAAAAGTCTTAATTTAAGATGCTATTTCAAAATTTCAAAACAAGATAAAGAACATGTTAAGGTATAGGTATAAGGAAAATGAGATTGCTTGCACATAAGGTAAAATGATATGTTTAAAATTAAATTTTAGGTTTTTTTAATAGAAAAGAAGAATGAAAGTTTTAAAAAGAAGAAGAGGAAAATGTATATTTCCCTTTCCTATAATTTTGTAGAAATTTTAGCATTTATACTGAGGCTAAAGGTAATCAAGACTGTAGCTTCTCAGTCTAAATTCCAGGGGTGAGGTTCTGTATCTATGTTTTGGGGAATTCCTCAGCCTCTCAAAAGTAATGAAGAACGATGTGCATAGGATCATGTTTTAATCATGAAGATACAGTGATTCCAACAAAAGGTGATTTGAGCCCAGTATATTTAAGAGACATTGATTTTTGCCCTCACCTCTTCTTTTAGTGGTGAGGATATTGAGATCCAGAAATGGACAAGGGTGTTGCTGGGGATCACAGTTCATTAGCAACCGAGCCAGAAATAGAACTCATGTCTGCTGTGAGGCCATCAATCCAACTTCCTCCTCCTCTGCATGCAATAGACAGATTATATTAGTCTTAAAATGGGATCTGAAGCTCGTTTTCTCTTCCAAAAAAAGTATTGAAGTTATGAAATGGGAGCTAAGGAGAAATGTCATAAAGGCACACAGGGAAGATCCAAGCCCTGGATTCCAGTAAAGATGTCTTTTCAGCAGAAGACAATTTGAGAACTTTGTAATTACTGTTTGGTTTTTCACCATTCATTGAGAACCCTCTCTTTGACTCCCTTTTTACCGTTTTGCAGTTTTCTTTGGTTTGTCTTCCCTTGCAGGTCATAGTAGGCTTTCTCTTTGAACTTGGTGCATTTTTTCTTTCCTATTCTCTACATTGACATTTCTCAATTTTGCTTCAAATAAAATTTGTGCCTTCTCTCCATACTATTCTGTACATGCTGAGAGGAGCAAGGTCTCTCAGGAACAGAAGACAGGAAGAGTTTGAGCTAGTTGGCAGAATCTGTTTGTATGTGCAGGAGACAAGAAGTGGCTCTGCTGCCCCAGCTCACGAAGCACAGAGCAAAGAACTCGGAGGCACAAGAGTGTCAAAGAATGCCACAGCAACCCCTGCAGAGCAGAATGCCCAGCGAAGGGAAAGTCAACTGGTGTTTTCCTCTCCTGCTTTTCTAGGCAATAAAACTGCTTCAGGGGAACATGTTGGAGCAAAACTAAGCAGCAGGTGATGGCAGAGACTTGTTTTCAACCACATTGTTTCTCTTTTTGTATCTTTTCCAGTTGGCTCATGTATTACCCACAGAAGAGAATTTCTTGCTGCTCTTCCGATGCCAGCAACTGAAGTCCTGTGAGGAATTTATGAAGGTAGAAGAAAGCAGTCTCTTTAGGAAACACTGAAGAAATCAGAATGACTGGATTTTTTTTTAATTTGGTTTTTCTTATCCAAAATGTTTTACAGACATGGAGAAAATACGATACTGATCACAGTGGCTTCATAGAAACTGAAGAACTTAAGGTAATCAAATAAAAGCTTATATTAAGATTTTTTTCTTTCCAATGCAGTTATGAACCTCTCAGGGCTTCATGGCTTTTAAAACATTTTCCACAAAAGAAATAAACGTGGAGCAATGTACTCACTCCTTCACATCATTAATGAAATACCAGATCCAGAAAGACTTCTTTTTTCTCCTAGTTCTGTTCAGCAATATGAGGAATTAGTTTTTGTAGTGTGCATAAATTGCTATAAAACCAATAGGTAGGTGATAGATAGAACTATGCACAGGTTAAATAAGTCACACTTTTCCACTGAAATTTGATTTTATACAGTAAACACTTATGTAATAGTCTTCTTTTCCATAAGAAAGACAAATCATGGGACACCTATTGCATGCCAGATACCTCACATGCATTATCTTACATAACCTTTGCATGAGCTCAATAAAATTAGTATTAGCTGACAACAAAAGGCTAGAGAGGAGTTAGATGTTCCACCAAAGGCCATATAGAAATAAGACTCAGACTTTAAATGTTTAAACTTAGACTTGTCCACCTCCAAAACCCATGGGCATTCCTTGCAACCGACAGCTTTTGAGTATTGATAATATTTACAAAAATCTAAAAACTAATTAAATTTTTGTTAAACTGCTACTTTGCAAATGACTTAATTGATTCATATCTCACGTGGTACTTAGGTGGTGGTGTGGGCGTGAGATACAAAGACAAACAGATCCAAAACTCAAAGTTTCCTCAGGGCAAATGTCCGCGTCAGTCTAATGCTTTTCATCTTGAAACCAAGAATGAGGATGCAGCTTTCTCAGATGCTTTGGAAAAACCAAATGAACTATTGCACTGGAGAAATCTGTGTTGCGTTATACATGAACTCAGCTCACTGGCCCTTTTCATCTCATTTCCTCAAATCTCTGTCTGAAAGACTCAATTTGCTCTGATAATTAAAGGGGAATGGTGGATAGTCAGATGCTGACTATGAGCACCTGATTATGTACCTACTATGTAGCTGACATATGACTGCGTACTTGAAATCTATTTTAACATTTCGTCCTCACAGCAAGCTGGCAACGCACTTATTATCATTTGCAATATATAAAGAGATTCAAATTCAGAGCAACTGGATCATTTCTCAGGATGACACAGTGACTTGAGAAACACAGCTAAGCTTGGACCCAGAATATCTAACAATGTTAATATTTGTCTCCTACAGCACCGCATACCTTCAAGCTTTGTTCACTGAAAGTTACTTGTGCTGCTGCCCTGAGGGAGAATGAACATCAAACTTTTTTCTTAATCGTGGTTCAACATGGTTTAAAGAACACACATTTTTAGAGGTGCATGGAACTGGGACATTTATACAATTACATTGCTGAGCCATAGTCACCTGCAGACTATAGAAAGTATAAACATTTTTAGTGTAAAGTCACTGGCAACTGTGTCTTTGACACACCTTCAGCTTTGGAACTACAGCCTATGAGGTGATGGTGCAGCTATTGTGTTTTTATTCTTTTATACCTAAACCATCTTTAAAAATCCTCTCCGACCAGAAAAAAAAAAAAAAAAACTCAGCTCATTTCCAACACTGACCTCAAAACATTCCAAAAGTCTCCTTCTTTGTTCTCAATTTTATTCTCAGAAAGAGATTCTAAATAGAAGTCCTCCTCCCTGGGGAATTTTTGAAGATAACTTGGCATTCTTTTTTAATAGATCTTTCAAGAAAGCTAATTTTAAGATCCATAATAGAGTACAACATCCCTTACTCTCAGACATGACTTTGAATCTTAGTGTCCCAAGGTTTCTCCCAGGCTATTTTTGTGACCACCATTTTTGTCTCTGATGAGGATTTTTAACCCAATTAATCTCTGACAAAGCCTCAGAAGGCTCAAAACTAAAATTCACCCCTACCAGATGACTTTGAATTCTCCATACTTCACTTTCAATTTGAAGCAGACGTTTGAAGTGAAAATAAATTTAGCAAATCAAAGAAATGGTCTCTTTCTTTGAGAAGAGTAAAATCAAACCAGGCTAGCAAAACTGGTACTTTTGGGGAGGAGATAAGCCACTGCTGAACGAAAGAAACCCAATCCTTCAATAATAACTGCACAGTTTTTATAAGTGCATTAATTTATTTTCTGAAAAATATAAAAGAAACAGCACTGAACAAAGTAACAGACTTATGCTTAAGTACATATGGTGTCATTTATGTGGAGAGCTTTGAAAAGCTTTTATTCAATTTATTTCTGTGTTAAAAAAGAGATAATAAACTCAGTCTTTAGCTAGAGCTGTCAAGTTAATAGTCGTCTTTTCTACCCTTTCCACATTAATCTCTGTTTCAGTGTGATTCGTGCATCCTTCAAGGTATTGATGTGATTGTCTGTAGCCAACTGCTTGAATTTGCAGTCAGCTGAAGTATTTAACCAAGGCTTCTTTGGATGGCTTCTCAGCTATATGCTCACCAACTGGCCCTCTAGAGAAACAGGCTTCATGCTTCTGTAAACTGAAGCGTAAACACAGTCCAGAGGGCATAGAATGTATTCAACATTCGAGTTCATCACACAATACAAAGGCTGAGAGAAAAGCCCTTATATTTCTTACAGAAGAGTCACATGAATACTTGCAAAAATAGCATTTGGTGGGAAAACATCCATTGGGTTGGCTGATTTTTAAAGCTTAAATTCAGATTCCTACACAGCATAAAGTCCCAATTCTTGTTTAATTGAAGTTATAAAAGCATAATATAACACAGATTACCACAGACTTCCTCTGTAAGAAGCAGATATTGCATATGTCAAAACCAGCTTCCTTATAGGAAATTCACAAGAACAGCATGGCTTAATCTCATTTTGAAGGTCTTCTGTAGGAAAAAAGATATATTTATGTACATATGCAAGATAGTTTGGATAATTAATTGTACTGCTGATTTCTGCTGGTCCATTAAAAGGGGCCACTAATGCTTTAAAATTTATTTATTTATTTTTCTTTCTAATTTCTTATAATTTTTTAACAATTTTTCAGGTTTATATCTGGTAACCTAAACAACTAATTTAAAGATAACATTATGCAGTACAACAACCGTTGTTGAATTCCTATTACTTTGGGGGGATTTTTGTTTGTTTGTTTGAATTCCTATTACTTTGTTTAATGAAATTTTGTATCATTTCTATTACTTTTTTATCACTTTATATTCTTTAGAAAAGGTTCTCTGTGGAAAGCACCTAGTTCACCCCTCTAAAAGAGCTTTCTGTGTATTTCTGGAATGTTGGTTTTCAAAGCATCTGAAATGGAAGTAAACTGTCCACCACTGCTGAGGTTTATCTGAGTGTTCTTTATCTTACCAGAACTTTCTGAAGGACCTGCTAGAAAAAGCAAACAAGACTGTCGATGACACAAAGCTAGCTGAGTATACAGACCTAATGGTAAGACTGATCTCAAAAAGACTGTGTCCAAGAACTCACTGTTTTCTTGCTAATTCTCAAGGCTACTGTATCCAAGGTGAAGTAAACCATATGGGCACATAGCTCTCACTTCATTTGTAAATTGGGATACTCAAGAATGTGCACATCTCACAAAGTTGAGCTCCTTAGGCATTGGCTTTAAAGTTCAGTTAAGAAGACTTTGCTTTCATGTTAAGCTACATGACGCTTCCCTCTCAGATGATAAGTTTGTTTGCTTGCAGCATTCATCTATCATCAAGTTATACTTCCTATTAATAGATAGTACATGATATATGCAAATTATAACTTATATGACCTCAAGCCTACTTATTTAGATTTATTTTGTTTTTATTTGTGGAATCATCCATCATAGGGAATCTCTACCTGGACATGGTATATCGCGTTTCTTCTTTTTTTCCCATTCCAATCTCTTCCCTTCAACTGATCTTCCCTCCTTATCTACAAAAGCTTTGATTCCATTTTTTTACTCCTATTATTTTATCTCTTATCCTTTCTTTCCCGCCCCACCCCCATTCTCTTCTCATTTCTCAATCTCTATTATACATTTTGATCTTTATTTGTGCTTTTGGTTACTCATGACAGAGAAACAACAGAATAATCACCACGTGTTCAATTATTTATACAGAAACTTAAAATTCATTTTTATCACAGCTTAGAGTGTCTTAGACTTTTTTAGAGTTTAAAGAGAACTTGTGAGTACTTTCATCATTAGGCCACTTACAATAGTTTTCTTTTGCTTTTTTATTTGAGGTATCATATTGGTGCTGTGGGTGAGGAAATCCAAATGTATCCTGACCGTGTTACTTTGGCAAATAGCATAGCCAAGATGTATCACAGAATACAAATCATGGAGTCAGGAAAATGCCTTTCTTAAAGTTTTAAGAAAAAATGATTAAAGCAATTAATGATGTTCAAGACAGAATAAAGCAATCCCATGAAAATTACTTTGTTCTAAATGGGTAAAGTTTGCTCATCTTAGCTCCAGGAGGCACATAGATTTTTATGTGATCTAACTAATATGAAGGTACTGTGAGTTCTTACCCATGATTTAAAATATCCATAAAATATAACTGTATGTTATAAAAGTTTCTATGTTACATTAGACTGCTGCACAAGTTAGCCTTTTAGGTACCCTGAGAATAATTTGTACAGGGTTCAATTACATTTACTGTAGCTGGCATTATTTTCAATTTCTTGCCCTACTTTGGGAAAATAAAAACTCTAGGACTATATTATTGGCTTATTCAACAGTGATATTTATTACAAAATATAACTAATATTATTTTTAAAACAACCAAGATTTTTTTTCATGTTCTTTGATTCCCATCACATTTCCACAGCATTAGCAAATAAATGGGAGACTTTTTTTGTGTGTCGAAATAGACAGGCCTAAATTCTGAATCTGTTCTCTCTCTCTCTCTCCCTCCCTCCCTCCCTCCCTCCCTTTCTTTCATAGAAATAGGCAGTAACCTATATTAATCAATTTTTCATCCTGTGTTGATCTTAAGGGACATCTATTTAGAACTAAGTCTCCTTTCCTGGTAGAAACTTGCAAAATGTTCACATGGGAATCTTCCCCTGTTGAATTGTCCTGGCATATCTGATTAAATGCTATAAACCAGTTCAAATCCAGGAAGCAAATTAATCAAGAACTAATTAAAATTTAAATATATAGGTGAGGAAATATTTTTGTATGGCTCCTAAACTGTGTGATCTAGTTGTCTAGTGTCTCAGCAGACATTGTCACAATATTAGAATTTATGGTCAATGGAGTATAAAAAGCTATGCCAGTATAAGATATTGAAAAAACTCTGCTCCCTACTAAGAATTCTTAGTACATCTCAAGCCATCTCAATGTCTTTCCTTCCTTCCTTAAAAAGACCACACTAACCTGTTTTCATTATGACTTCAGTATATTCCTTTTTTCTAAGACAAAAATAATTCTACTCTGTACATCTTTAGTTCACATACTTCATATATTTTAATATATTCCATATATACTATTTCTATATCATATAGCAACCATTGCCACTTTTTTTTAAAAGTGTGAGTGCTTCACAAATATGCATATAAACATGTTTATGATCAGACATGTCTCAGAGTATGAGACAAAACTTTGTTGGAACGCTATGAGCTTTACTGAGTATCTAGTGACCGAGGGAAGGTGAAAAATTCAACATGACTCAAAAATCCTATTACCTAAAGACTTACTCATGTTATCTGCCTATTGCTTTTGTCTGTACTATTTTGTGTGCTAAAGAGGTAAATAAATACTTATTTTCGCACCATCCTCTGGAGAGGTTCAGCGGTCCTGTATCCTGCCAGGCACTATTCTTCACATGTATAGATACACATTCGAAAGTATTTCCAAAACAAAATGAGTTAAGGTATTCTACAAGCCTAAGTTCAGGCCTCTATTGCTCTGCTTCACTGTTCCATGTTGGTCAGATACACCTTGACAACTGATGTATTACAAAAGTGAAAGCATGCTTTGAAAGTTTTAAAACACGTTAGTTTCTAAAATTTTCACTGTATGTGTAAGTTCTTGGTAACTTAAACTACTTGATTTGGAATGCTTGTCTTCATTAAATCAGTCTGCAATAGCTAATATTTTGCTCTTAATTTTGGAAACAAAATAAAACCCTACATTTTATCTTTTAGTTGAAACTGTTTGACTCAAATAATGATGGGAAGCTGGAACTGACGGAGATGGCCAGGTGAGTTTAGGAAATATGCTAATAGTAGAGTAAGCGGATCCCTGCCCCAAAACCATATCTATTAACATGATTTTCTCTTAAAAGGTTACTACCAGTGCAAGAGAACTTTCTGCTTAAATTTCAGGTACTGGACTTTTTCATCCATAGTATATAATGTTTTCTTTGAAAAGTTAGAATGTGGGAGATTTGTGCAGAGAAGTAAACTGAAGTGTAGTAGTAGTAGTCGCAGCACTTTAACTTCTTTTCTCTCTTTTAGGGAATTAAAATGTGTGGGAAAGAATTCAATAAGGCTTTTGAGTTATATGATCAGGTAAACGTTTGTTCTTTTTTTTTTTTCTTTTATTTTCATTATGCTAAAGCACTTTGTATGAGATCTATCCTCATTATTTACAGGTGGTTCACTAAGCAAACAATGCTGCATGGCATATTTTTAAAATTTATTTATCTCACATAATTAAAAATTTATGATCATTAATTAGGAACTTTCCAAACCCCGATAACAACCAATCTGCTCTGCTTCTTTGAGTTTGACTAGCTTAAATGCATCACATTTAACTGGTGTCACGTAGTATTTACCCTCTATGACTGACTTATTTTATTTAGCAGAATGTTCTCAAGGTTTACTGATTTTCCCATATACTTCAAATTTTCTTTCTTTTTAACGCTAAATAGTATTCACTTATAAAGGACTGGCCAGATAGCTCAGCAGACTAAAGCGCCTGCTTAGACAGAGCGCAGCATCCAGGGTTCAATCCCTGGTGTGCCGATCCCGGGAGTGCCATGCCGGCCCCACCCCTGGGGTGTGCTGAGACAGCAACTGAGACAGGGCATGGTGGCTTGCACTGTAATTCCAGCGCTTGGGAGGCTGAAAGCAGGAGAATCACTACAAGTCCAATCTGCAGAGTGAGACCCTGCAGACCTTGTAGACCCTGTATCAAATATATAAATAAATAAATAGGTTCTATTATATACACACAAAGATACACCTAGATAGATAGATGTCTATCCATCAGTGAGCGTTTAGGTGATTTATGCCTCATAGCTGTTGCGAATAATGCAACATGATCGTGTGCTATTAACATCTCTTTGAGACCCTGATCTTGAGACCCTGATCTTTTGAATAAAAACCCAGAATTTGAATTGCTGAATCATATGAGAATTTTATTTTTAATCCTAAAATATCTTCACATCGTTTTTCATGGTAGATGCTTCATTTTGCATTCTCGCCTAGGGCACAAGGGCTCTCATTTCTTCATGTTTCCATAAAGCTGCACTGATTTTTCTGTGTGTGTGTGTGAGGAGCCATCAGAACAGGTTGAGGTACCTCACATTATGGTTTCAATTTGCATTTGACTGATGATGAGGGACATAAAGCATCTTTTTATATACCAGTTGACCATTTCTATAGCTTCTTGAAGAAATGTCTAGTCAAGTCTTTAGCCTATATTTTAAAAAGATATTAGTGCTTTTTGACCACTGAGTTGTAGGAGTTCCTTCTATCATGAAATATTACATTCCTTATACGTATGGAAAGTAACACTTTCCCTGATACATAGTTTACAAATATTCTCTCCTTGGTTAAATTTTTCATGTTTCATTCCTTTTGTACTATATTAAATGGCATTTCTAATCCATTATAGGTAACTTACTGTTAGTATATAGAATATAACTAAATTTGGATATTGATTTTCATATTTAGTAACTCTATTGAATTTATTTACTTTGAATCTTTAGATTTTTATATGTAAAAATCATATTACCTTCAAATATGAAAAACTTTATTTCTTCTACTTCTATTTGAATGCCTTAAATGTTTGCTCTTATCTATAATTTGATCCTTGAAATTTTGAAAACTGCTCAGTAAGGGAAAATAAAAGTTCAAAGTTTATATTTTAAAACATATGGGAATGCAAAAGGGATTAAAGAGTGTTATATACGTGTATCCAATCCACACAAGGACTGTAAACATTATGCACTGCAAACATGTACTAATAATTTGTTAAAGAAACGCTGGCCTTTAAAAATTATATAACCAATTAATTTTTTCCATGGAAGTTGCACTAATGTATATCCACACTGCACACATCATAGGTCAAATACCGCCCTACAATTTCTCTGCTGTGAGACTTTGAACAAGGGACCAAAAGCTGAGCCTCAAATTCTTCATTTGTACCCAAGAGATAATACCCTCTTACCATGTGAATGAAGATAAACTGGGGTGAAATATCATGCAGAAGCGTCCCACACAGCAAGTTGTGTGTGTAAGGAAAGTCACTGATGCCACTAATCCACACCTTTGGCTTCTTCTCCCAATTACTCCTGGACTTGGGCTCTAAATCCAACTGTCACCTCTTGGTACGACATCAGCCCAGTCTCATAGCTTCTTTGGGCCTCAGTCTTCTTGTCACAGGAATGAATATATTTAAGACTACCTACTTCAGCTGGAGATAATGTTGATAGAATGAAATATTCAATGTTCAAGCACTCTGAAAATCTCAAGGTATCTTACAAATGTAAGGTAGTGTCACCTCACCTATTTTGCAACTCTGGAGCAGCTAAAATGTTGAAGATCTGATGTAACAGGTGAAGCAACAGATTAGAACAGCTGCCAACTGTACTTTCTGAGCATTCCATTATAATCCGTCTGTTTTACTTAACTTCTACTACCGTGGATGGAGTTGGCTGTACGCTGATTACTTCTCTTCCCACAGGATGGCAATGGATACATAGATGAAAACGAACTGGATGCTTTACTGAAAGATCTGTGTGAGAAGAATAAACAGGTAATTTAGTATATTTCTTATTCATCATATTTCTTGAATGCCATAACCATTTTGGAAATATACTTTAAAAGTTTATAATGGAGCAGAAATAGATTGTAACTCTCAAATTGCTTTGTTTGTTTATGGCTAAGTTCATATCATTGTGATAGTTTTTCACAAACCATCTTGTGTTTATTCACACTTGCATAAGAATTTAATCCAGCTGTTTTCTTAATGGATTGATATATAAAGAAGTTGTCATCTCACGTTTTGTCAGTTTGCAATCGTTCATTAGCTTCCACATTGAACAGATTATGCTGTCATCTATGTTCCATACAGGATCTGGATATTAATAATATTACAACATACAAGAAAAACATAATGGCTTTGTCGGATGGAGGGAAGCTGTACCGAACAGATCTCGCCCTTATTCTCTCTGCTGGGGACAACTAGAGCTGGGGCCACAACCACCTGCTAGCGGTACATTGTATCTAAAAAGATAACTGAGCACTATAAAGGAGTAGGCTGTATTTTCTTTTATATCTGTAAATTTTACTGCATATAGACAATTATCCAGGATGTGTGGCACATTCTTTTCTGCTTGTTTCTATACTGTTTGTAATGTACAGTTTTTGTAACTATATGATTGAAAAGGAGAAGGTCTATATTTAGGCCAGCCGGTATACCCAATTAAAAATAACCTAATATGTTCTTGCTTTTATAAATACAATTGCCCATGAAGATTCTCCTGAAATTTTTTGCCAGGATTAATCTCCAAAATTCTAGTTTCTGTTGAAAAATGCACATTATTCACTGAATAAAACACTGTGATAAAAGCATTTATCACTTAATAAAGAACTATGCTTGACAAGCCAAGGATTCTTATTTTAGACAATCATAGGACTGTCCCACAAAGTGCTTCTGTATTTCCAACTACTGAGAGATATGTGCTTCCCCACCTAAAATACTCACAAAAATACCAATAAAAAGTTACATTATGCCTTTTTGAACTTCACCATCTCACTAGAGATGTAGTTACTGATCAACAACATGTCTACAGCTTGAATCCATACCAAATTATTTACTCAAATTGATGTGGTGACAAAGGAAGACAGCACCAAGTGTCACAGATCTAAGTCTGTTTCTGAGAAGTCTACTGTGAGAGTATGACCTTAATTCATTTTCTATTTTCATGTGTTTCAGATTATAATTACTCTGGTAACTGCTGTTTCATGTCATATGGTCTGTAAGCTCTGATTAAATTTAATATGCTAAGTATCCTGGTGTCTAGTTGCATATTTCCTGGATTTTCTTTCTATGTAGAACTGTTCATTTCACCAAGGGTATCTGCTGCCTTTGAAAATATTTTTTTCTAGCTATAACAACTCTATTTTTTACTACATAATTGAATTTTAATGTAAAATTCATAACATCCTGATTACTGAATGTTATATCATCAATACTTTTGTGTATTCTGTGGATTCTATATTTCACATTGGGATTAGCATTCAGAATAGTTTTATTTCTATCTGCAAATAGTTTCAAATGAGTTCAAAATAGCCTCTGAAAAAAATGCTACTGTAATCATTATCTTATCTAGTAAAGGAGATTCTAAAACCTTCTTTGGCCCACATCTGAGTCACAGAGTAACATATTGTAGTTAGAATATCTTATCCTGGTGATAGTTGACGTGTAATAAATGGTAATCTTAGGTTCTCTGTGGAAAAGAGAAATGAGAAAAATGTTTATGTGGAATTTATAAAGTTGCCATAAAAAAGTTAATGATGATTCTGGGTCAACATGAATGTTCCAGTTCAACTTTTATTTTTTCAGTTCATAAAACTAATAGAAAATGTGAGCTATCTCCTTCCCTCAAGAATGAATAGAGAAAAAGATCTACCAGAATAAAATTTATCAGTGGATGTGAATGGTAGATTGGCTTTGCCTGCAGTGTATAAATGGAAGCACTAACATTAGGTTGAATTTAACTGCAAAGAATAAAGAAAAAAGAAAACACCCTTTATGTTTTCTATTGTTTCTTCTCAAAAATGGTAACATACAACCCATAATTAATCCAGGTGGAAATGCAGGGTGCTCAAATCACTATAGCATGAGGAATAAAGGAATTACTGGAAGACTCATTGAATTAAGAAGTATTTCTGAGTGATTAACAATCAAAGAAATTTTTAAAACTCCTAATGTTTGAAGTTCTTTTCCCAACTGACATTGTCAAATACTTCTTCATAAAAATTCTCCTTACAGGACTTTCCTACATTTTATCTGTAGAAAAATCACTATCCACTACAAAATACACATACAAATTCTAACAGGTTTAGCATTCTTACAATGATGGCATGGGAAAAAGAAATAAGTAAAACAGAAAATGATGGTGGTAGTATTTCTGAGAAGACTTTTTTTAGAGAGCTGATAGCAATAATCGTCAGGAATCTAGTACCAGGATTATGATGTCGGACTTAGCAAATATACTTCTTGAGGTAGAAAACAGGATAAAGAAGAAAGAGAGAAAGAAAAGAAAAGAAAAGAAAAGAAAAGAAAAGAAAAGAAAAGAAAAGAAAGAAAGAAGGAAGGAAGGAAGGAAGAAAGAAAGAAAGAAAGAAAGAAAGAAAGAAAGAAAGATTAAAAGGGCAAATGCAAGATTGCCAGCACAACTCCTGCCACATGCCACAAATAAAGTACATTCCAGGTTTAGTTCTAATCTAAACGTAAAAAGTATTTGATAGGTTATGGCCCTAGTATGAACGGCTGAATTATTATGGTGGTCGTCTGATATGGCTGAAGCCCTTAGAATAACAGCTCATCTTCCAGTGACCACTTCCTCCTCCTTCCCCACTCCAGCCTTGGGTACAACCTCCTTTACCTTTCCCGCCCACACTAGGAGCCTCCAATCAGCTCATTGTACGTCACTAAACCCGTCCCCAGTAAAAGTCCGTAAAGTCTCAGGCTCCCTGTCTCAGGCCAGAGGACCTGCGCATCTCCTGCCCTTGGTGCTCTCCGTGAGTTAACAAAAGCTTTTCCTGCCCCTATTTCTGTTTCTCTGCTGTGCCGCCACCATTGCTGTTGCCTGTAAAATCTATCAGTATTAAGAGACTCTTCAATACCACAGGTGAGGAAATACTTAACCAATTAAGAAGAAACAGATTGAAAAATTGTTGTCATTAAAAGTAAAATCATAAAATTCTTATAAAAATAAGTAAAATCTTCTGTTCATAAAAAGATACTCCGAGAGAAAATCAGGGAAAGGATATTTGTAGCAGTTCTGCAAATGTAAGCAGTATCACCAAAATGAAACCTAGGATTGATTTCAAAGCAAATTTATTTACGTCAATGGTCATTGATCAGGATTATTTCCAGAACATTAGACCCTGATCTGTGGTGGTCTAGGACTTACATGGGGTAAGTAAGCAAGAATTACAGAGGCAGAATGACTTGTCAATTAGGGATTGATTTACACAATGTGCAACACCTTGGCCAGCCATTTCTTAGAAGCAGGAGGCAACCAGATCTGAACAGGAACTGGACCCAGGCAACTAAAACACAGAAGTATACTGGATGGGGGTCACTTTGTTGCAATACACTTGCCAAAGGCACATACCAAAAATGCATATATATTAGTCTTAAAAATCAGTTACAAATATAACTTAATTGAGCTGGGTGTGGTATCACATGCCTATAATCCCATACCTTGGGAGGCTGAGGCAAGAGGATCATTGTGAGTTTGAGGCCAGCTTGGATGACAAAGTAAGGTCAAGACCACCCTGAACTGTATACCAAGACCCTGACTCCAAAAGATATGTATTTTATCACTAATGAGGAGAAATGCAAATTTAAAAACTGAACCCAATATATCCTTATCAGAAAGGTAAGAAATAAGGGATAAAATTTGTGAGGGTGAAGCACAGTGGGATTGTTACACACTGCTTGATGGGACATCACATTATAAACAATTTGGAAAACTATTTGGCAGTATTCATTAAATTCAAGCATAGGCACACCCTATAACTCAGCAATTTTCGCTCCAAATATTACCAGCCTAATAGAGAAAGCTATATACATATTTTCACCCAAAGAAAAAGCGTGCTCACAGCAGCACAGGATTTGGCAGCCTCAAATTAGAAATTCAAATGCCCATTAACAGCAGGCATAAAAAGTAAATAGTGGTATATTCATATATACCTTGTTCTCAGTGGAATATTATTGAACAAGAAGCAATTGCTATAAAGGAAAAAGCTATAAACTAAAGAATATATCTTGAGTGATATTATTTACATAAATTTCCAAAAGCAGCTTAACTATGGTGTTAAGAGGTCAAGACACAGTCTTCTAGACTCCTGGTGCTGTTCACTTTCTTGACCTGGGCAGAGGTTATGCGTCTATGATTGGTGCCATTTTAACCAGAAAATTAAAAAATAATTGTTTTTATTATCAAAGGCTTTCACTGTGACTGATTTTATAAATATCCTGTTATTATTGTCTTAAGTTATTAATTCCAGAGACGACAAGCTTCAGAGATGAGTGTGACAAACTGTGTGACTTGGGGCGAGTCACAAAAATTTCCTGGGCCATTTCCTCAATTGTGAAATGAAAGAATGAAAGTCTACTGAAGTGTTTCCAGTTCTATTATTCAAAATCACTTTCATTCTTTTTTCTTTTTAACTTTATTTTCCTTAACACATGCTTGCAGTATATGATTACCTTTGTTGTGGAGATTTGGTGCAGGTATGTGACACATCTTAATTCTTTTTACACCACCACCACCCCCGCTCCCTCCATCTTCTTCCTTCTTACTTTATTGGTACATTCTAGATATACATAGTGATA